GGGGTGTTGTGGCTGGGGCTGGGGGGGGGGCTGGGTCTGGGAGGAGGGGTCCTAGCCCCAGGGGGGCAGGTGCTCCTTGAAGGAGAAAGCTGGGGGCCCCATTTCTGGAGAAGCTGCAGCGGTGGCTGAGGGGAGCCAGGGAGGCGAGGTCTCCTGTGCCAGCCCCTCCTGCTGCCCCAGGGGGCAGAGTCACCCACGGCCTCCTTTGCTCCTGCCCATCTCAGAAGCTTCTCAGCAGCTGGAAGTGGAGTCCGGGTCACCCCCGCCCCCACTCCCCAGGGGGCAGCAGCCCCCTGCCACGTGACTGGCTCCCAGGCTGCCTGTCAGAGCAGGGCTCTGGGGCTAAGGCCGGCGTAGGTGTCCTCCTGGCCCGCGGGGGCAGTGGTGGCCCCAGCAGGGCTGAGCCTGTGCGCCGCTCAGCCACAGCCCCAGCGTCAGGTGCCCGTCCCTGCTTGCCCTCCCGCACTACCGCCCACCGCCCTGGGCCAGCAGGCGAGCCCTAGCCTGGGGAGGGCCCCCGCCTCCCTGACTTGGACATCAGAGGAGGCCCTGGGCATCACGGGCCCTCCATGCACACACGTCCGCCTCCTCTAACTGGGGTCACGCTCTGTTTCCAGGCACGCCTCACTCCCGGGCCCTGCTGAGGCCTAGCGGGGAGCTGGCGGCCTGGTCTGAGAGCACCCAGAGTTCCAGGGAGGAAGCAGGAGCAGCGGGGGGCGGTGCGGGGGCGGCTGGATGGAGGCCGAGGGAGGGCTGGGGGTTGCCCGTCAGGCAGGCTGCAGGCGGAGAGCAGGGCCACCCCGAGCCTAACCAGGTGCGCCTCCTGCGTGCAGCCACCCGGGAGGCTTTTGCAAACCTGGTTGGTCCCCCAGCCTGGAGGGGGAGCCGGCTTCACGCGCAGGCTCCGGAGACTGAAGGCCCTCACGTACACCCTGCCTGCCAGGTGCTGAGGACGGGGGGCCTTGCCTTGGGGCCCAGGAATCGTGACTCCATCTCTGCAAAGCCTTTCACAGCCTTGAGGCCTGCGGGGGCAGACAGGGGGTCCAGGAGAAGCCTGGAGAGGGCAGTGATAAGGCCCAAGGCAGGGGGTCGACAGGGCCAGGGCCAGGGAGTCCTGCCTCCGGACTGGGCTTGTCCCCTCGCCCTGTATCTCCACATCCTCCCGGCTGAGCCGCAGTCCCCCACCTCCCCCTCCTCGGGTGCCCTGGCTGCTTGCTGCTCCCCTGTCACCGTGACTGGGAGAAGGAGACTTGCTTTGGTTGCAGCCCTTTTCTCTGGTCAGAGGAGGGTCTTGCCTTTGGGCTGAGCCCGGCCTGAGGGGCCAGGTGAGCCCCTGGGGCCCAGCCCAGTCACAACCCCTCCTCTTGGCAGTTGCGGCAAAGTGGTGGGGTCAGAAGCGGATCGACTACGCCCTGTACTGCCCCGACGCCCTGACGGCCTTCCCCACCGTGGCCCTGCCCCACCTCTTCCACGCCAGCTACTGGGAGTCCACGGATGTGGTCTCCTTCCTGCTAAGACAGGTACCCAGGGTCCCCCTGCCGGGCACACCTGCACCTCTCAGGGGGCCCGACTGACACCGCTGCTGAGGTGGCCCCGTTTCATAGATGAGGACGGTGGGGAGCCCCACTTTCTGGCCCCAGCAGACGCCACAGCCAGCAGGATGGAGGAAGCCGTGGGGATATTGAGATGGGGTGAATGGACGTGCACCCTCACGGGCCAGAGAGCAGACTGCAGTGGGGTTAAATAGTGCCCCCCGCCAAACCCTCCCATGGGTAGCGTGGCCCCTAGGGCCGCTGGCCTCTCCCCTCTAGAACAGGAAGCCCCAGGCTTGAGCCTGCCCCGTGGCCTCCCTCTGTGTCCCCTCCCAGGTCATGAGGCACGACAACTCCAGCATCTTGGAACTGGACGGCAAGGAGGTCTCAGTGTTCACCCCGTCAAAGCCGAGAGAGAAGTGGCAGCGCAAGAGGACCCACGTGAAGCTGCGGGTGAGGGGTCCTCTGAGTGCCCAGGCCCCGCTGTCGTCCTATTGAATCCTCGCGAGAAGACCCCATTTTACAGATGAGGAAACTGAGTCACAGAGAAGTGTGCTGTCTTACTTAATCCTCACAGTCTGGGGTTGGAGCTGTTACCCCATTTGCAGACGGGGACCAGCGCCAAGGCCACGTAGCTCAGTGGCTGAGCTGTGTCATCGGGCTTTGCACCCGTACTCACGCCCCAGGCCCGTGGGAAGCTTGAGCTGAGCCCAAGAGGCCCCCAGAAGGAAGCTTGAGCTGAGCCCAGGAGGCCCCGGCAGCCCCTCCACCCCCAGCCCTGACCCAGCTTTGCTCCTCCCCCTCCCAGAACGTGACGGCCAATCACCGGATCAATGACGCGGTCGCCAACGAGGATGGCCCGCAGGTCCTGACAGGCCGGTTCATGTATGGGCCCCTGGACATGGTCACCCTGACCGGGGAGAAGGTGAAGACACAGGGAGCCCGCGGGAGCCCCCCACCTCGCCTCCCTCTGGCTGGGGGGTGGGAAGTGGAGGTGGGGAGGCCAAGGGCGCAGCCCAGCCATGACCAGCCCTCCCGGCTCCAGGTGGACGTGCACATCATGATGCAGCCGCCCTCGGGTGAGTGGCTGTACCTGGACACGCTGGTGACCAACAGCAGCGGGCGCGTCTCCTATACCATCCCCGAGACCCACCGCCTGGGCGTGGGTGTCTACCCTGTCAAGATGGTGGTCAGGTATGAGCTCCAAGGAGTGAGCAGGCCGGGTCAGCCTCGTCCGGGGCGGGAGGAAGGAGCTCCGGTGGGTTCTGATGAGCTGCCCCCTCCCAGGGGGGACCACACGTTTGCCGACAGCTACATCACCGTGCTGCCCAAGGGCACGGAGTTCGTGGTCTTCAGCATCGACGGCTCCTTCGCCGCCAGCGTGTCCATCATGGGCAGCGACCCCAAAGTGCGGGCCGGGGCCGTGGACGTGGTGCGGTGAGCGCTCCGAGCAGCAGCGGGTGGGCTCGGAGGCAGGCAGCTCCACGGCCAGGCGGCGGAGGGCCCTGGGTGCCAGAGCAGGGACATGGGGCAGGGACCCCGCAGCTGGGTCACACTTCCCAGCTGTAACCTCTTGCTGTTGATGCCTCAGTTCCCTTACCTGGGGAGCGGGGCTGCTTCTAACAAACAAGACCAGTTACACCTGCTGCGGGGGGCGGGGGTGGGGGCCGAGAGCACCGCGCTGTTGTCAGTCTGGCTGCGGCTGCCATTGTCGGCCCCTGACCCGAGAGGCACTCTTTAGCGGCCCCCGTGGGGACTGGCTGGGCGGCCCAGGAGGGAGGACCGTGCGTCCGTGGGACACCCAGGCCTGCCCCTCGCCCCAGGCACTGGCAGGACCTGGGCTACCTCATCATCTATGTGACGGGCCGGCCTGACATGCAGAAGCAGCGGGTGGTGGCATGGCTGGCCCAGCACAACTTCCCTCACGGCGTGGTGTCCTTCTGCGACGGGCTGGTGCACGATCCGCTGAGGCACAAGGCCAACTTCCTGAAGCTGCTCATCTCTGAGGTGCGTCCCGGCTGGAAGGGCGTGGGGTGGGAACGGGCGGAAGGGCCGAGCCCGCGCCCACTCCCGTCTTGCCCACAGCTGCACCTGCGCGTGCACGCAGCCTACGGCTCCACCAAGGACGTGGCGGTCTACAGCTCCATCAGCCTGTCCCCCATGCAGATCTACATCGTGGGCCGGCCCACCAAGAAGCTGCAGCAGCAGTGCCAGGTGAGGGGACGCGTCATGGCAGCCGCGCGCGCGGGCGGGCGGGTAGCCCCGGGAGCCCCGCCCCCTGACAGCCATGCTCCGCGTTGCCCTCCCTCCCCCGCAGTTCATCACCGACGGCTACGCGGCCCACCTGGCCCAGCTCAAGTACAACCACCGGGCGCGCCCGGCCCGCAACGCGGCCACCCGCATGGCGCTGCGCAAAGGCAGCTTCGGCCTGCCTGGCCAGGGCGACTTCCTGCGCTCCCGGAACCACCTGCTCCGCACCATCTCGGCCCAGCCCAGCGGGCCCGGCCACCGGCACGAGCGGACGCAGAGCCAGGCGGACAGCGAGCAGCGGGGACAACGTAGCATGAGCGTGGCGGCCGGCTGCTGGGGCCGCGCCATGGCGGGCCGGCCCGAGCCGGGGGCAGCCGCGGGCCCCAAGTAGGGCTCCGGGAGCAAGGCGCTGTGGTCTCCATGGTGCTAGGCCGGGGCGGCCCGCCCTGCCAGGAGGCCTGGCCTGGGCACGGACAGTCGGCTGGGGCCCAGCTTGTCCCAGGGCCCGGCGGAGGACTCGGGGCCGTGCCACACACAGCCCTGCCTCGCGTGTTAGGGTCTGAGGGGTTCCAGCATATCGTGGAAGCTGGCAGGAGGACCAGTCCGAGGATGACGGAGGGACCAGGACCGCCCCCCCCCCC